CTCTCAAGAAAAAAGGTTCTTCGAGTTTCTCTAATCTTCAATCTTTTTCTCTCCATTGATTTTCCTTGAATCGAGAACCAATCGTTTCTCTCTCGGAGCTTTTTGGTTCTCGTCATCAATGGCGGAAACGACGGAGAAAAAGTACATTACAAACGAAGATCTGAGAAAACACAACAAATCTGGAGATCTATGGATCGCGATTCAAGGCAAAGTCTATAACGTCTCCGATTGGATCAAAACTCATCCCGGTGGCGATACGGTGATTCTCAATCTCGTTGGTCAAGACGTAACCGATGCGTTCATCGCATTCCATCCCGGAACCGCTTGGCACCATCTCGACAATCTCTTCACCGGTTACTACCTCAGAGATTTCGAAGTCTCCGAAGTCTCACGCGATTACCGTCGCATGGCTGCAGAGTTTCGAAAACTCGGCCTCTTCGATAACAAAGGTCATGTCACTCTCTATACTGTAGCTTTTATCGCCGCTATGTTCGCCGGAGTTTTATACGGTGTTTTGTGTTGTACCTCTGTAATCGTTCACCAAATCGCCGCGGCGTTACTCGGACTCCTCTGGATCCAGAGTGCTTACATAGGTCATGATTCAGGCCATTACGTCATCATGGCGAACGATTGGTATAATCGAATTGCTCAGATTGTATCCGGTAACTGTTTAACCGGAATCTCAATCGCGTGGTGGAAATGGACTCACAATGCTCATCATCTAGCTTGTAACAGTCTAGATTACGATCCTGATATTCAACACATGCCTGTTTTCGCAATCTCTACCAAATTCTTCAACTCCATGACCTCGAGATTCTACGATCGGAAACTCGATTTCGATCCCGTCGCTAGGTTCTTGATCAGTTATCAACACTGGACTTATTATCCAGTCATGTGTTTCGGTAGAATCAATCTCTTTATCCAAACGTTACTCTTGCTCTTCTCTAAACGTAAAGTACCAGATCGTGCTTTAAACTTCGCCGGAATCTTGGTTTTCTGGACTTGGTTCCCACTCTTGGTCTCGTGTCTACCGTCTTGGACTGAACGTTTCTTCTTCGTCTTCACGGCCTTCACCGTCACTGCGCTTCAACATATTCAGTTCACGCTTAACCATTTCGCAGCCGATGTCTACGTAGGTCCACCTACAGGTAACGATTGGTTCGAGAAGCAAGCAGCAGGGACGATTGACATTACGTGTACATCTTACATGGATTGGTTCTATGGTGGGTTACAGTTTCAGTTAGAGCATCATTTGTTCCCGAGGCTACCTCGTTGTCATCTTCGGAAAGTTGCTCCGGTGGTTAAAGAGCTTTGCAAGAAGCATAACCTGCCGTATAGAAGTCTGTCGTGGTGGGATGCGAATGTGTTGACTATTGATATTTTGAAGAAAGCTGCTTATCAAGCTCGTGATGCGGCTAATCCTGTGGTTAAGAACTTGGTTTGGGAAGCTTTGAATACTCATGGCTAAATAAAAAAAAAATGAGTTTTTTAAAATCAAACAGAGAGACTTTTGCTTGTTTGATTTATTATTATTGTGCTTTTGTTATGCTTTTGAATCTTTTTAAAATTTCGGTTTCGTTACAATTGGAAGAGGTGTTTTTTTTTTTTTTTAGATTGAATTGAATCGAG